ACGCTGGCCTTGTAATCCTGGGGTCTCGGGTTCGATTCCCGGCGGTGCCCGAATTTTTAACTTGTGTTGGGCAAGGCCGTGGCCTAGGCAACACGGAGTTTTCCTCATTGGCATCCCAACAATTACTCCATTCACACAGAAGAAGGCAATGGCAAACCCCTTCTGGATCATCTGCCAAGAACGTATATGAACAGGTCCCAGTCCGAGAAAAGGATGGAAGGATCCTGTTCATATGGACCTGTCGTCAGACAGAACACTAAATAAAATAAAAATAAATGCATCCTTGTCGGTGGTATTGTAGCCAATGAGATGGATGCAAGACTGGGCCCCGATGAGTCTTCCGTACAAGCGTGTGCACTCGTATCATTACCATTATTTTTATTTAAAACAACATCGCGTCCAGAGAACTTGCCCCTTGCACAAAACACGCTTCTGCAAGGTAATTTATTAGCCCCAGTTCCCGTAGTTCTTTTGTCTGCACATAACCTAAAGGCGGCTCCCTTAATTATGACTGCTTCGTGTCGATTCTGCTACTTCAGGAGGCGACACTTTTACTCCTGCGAAACATAAATGCTTATTAATCCAGTGTTCTTTAAACGTCATATTTCTTTTCCAAAAGCTGTTTAGCTTCTGCCATGAAGATATAAGGTCTCTAACTACCAACTTACTTCTTGCTTCTCCAGTAAATTTTGATTTCACTTATTTCAGTCGCTATGTCCGTGGCCTAACGAGTTCGAAAGTTGTTGACAAGTTGTCAATAAATTCCCTTATTTTTTCTTATCCCTCTCAAAAAGTTTATTAAACAAATTCATGACCTCCGAAATTCTTAAGGCTATATCAACCACATTTCCTGAATCTTGTTGATTGATGCTGGATCAAATACATTGACTGCTTAATAACACACAACAGTATGATATGACGCTTTCACGGTGACTAAGTATAATAAATTCTTCTTGCTTCATTTTCTTTATTAAGCTGTTAGCCCGAGAATAATTAAATATGCAACGCTCCTACGTATTATCTCATAATAACTAGTACTTAACACCATTGTGTGGCAAGAGGAGTGTATTATTCTCTGAAAATGCTATACACTTTTCTACTTTTAAATCTCTTTTTCTAACAAACTGTAATTTATCTGTTGTACACAAATTGTATCACTAAATAAAGCTTGCATTCAAATTGTACGATGCGGACGGGCTGTTGGGTCACAGCTGGGAGACTCCCATGGCACCCGATTACGCTCCTGGTACGTACTTCTCTAGATCAGCTGTTGAGGTCGACTTCAACACTACCTGTATGACGGTGGAATCGACATAGCGGAACACATGTCGCTTGGGGGTTCTCCAGTGACATGATCTCAATAACCAACGTCGTTAAAATTGCTCGATGCCTTAAAACAACACTGGACACATACAAAACGAGTCTATTGTACCATTAAAGTAAATGAAAGCTGTCCCATTATACGCCATGTAGGCGCTTGGGGGGAGAGATGGTATAGCCCCTACTCATTCTTGACCTCGGCACTAGATGGGGGTGAGTGGTCAGCATCACGCCCCGGCCGTGCATTACCCCCGGGAAATGAACCCGGTACCTATTGGATAGGAGGCTGGGTGGGCCCCAGAACCAGTGTGGACACAGATGTTAGAGGAAAATGTCCTCTGCCCCCGTCGGGGATCGAACCCCGGTCGTCCAGCCCGTAGCTAGTCACTATACTGACTGAACTATGTCGGCTATTATACCATTAAATTGTCAAAAATAATTTAAACAATAAGAACTACATGATAAAATGTCTGTGTCTTCCTGCTCTAACTTACTAGCACATGATGCACTTAAGGGAACGTATCTATTCAGAACGTCAACAGATACTTAAGTTGTGTAATCTGAAGATTCTTGTTTGTGAAGATGTTCGTCTTCAAAGTTGTTGAGCCGCGTAGTCTGATATACGTTTGACGGTGGCCTCTAAGGTCAAGGCGGCCGCGATTATGGAAGCAGCAAGCAACTCTAAGGCAATGTCCTACGTAAGCGATAACAAGCGAGCAGTGCGAGCTGCATAAGCAGCATGGGGTGTCATATGAAATAAGGGAATCGCTTGTTGTGTCCTCAGTGAGAGACTGCAATAGAAGCACACGGTCTTTCTGCGCATGCACCTTCCCTGTATTGCACAGTCAGAGCTTCCTTGCGCATGCGCCTTACTGGCCAGCGCAGCGACCTGCGCGAAAATATCAAAATATTTGATCTCGGAATCCGGCCGCTTTACTGTCTTGACTGATTCGCTGTAACCTAGGACAGCGCCATACTAACAGCCAGTTTGATATTTCCGCTGCACCCACGCAAATCGCACCGCTCGCATTTAATCGTTCACGTAGGACACCGGGTAAACGTCGTTAAACGTCCATCAAACTATGTAGTCAACCCAGAAGACAGCCATCTTCATACTCGCCACCGTGAGAAACCAAAATCTCACTTATGACTGTGTTTAGCGAAACACGTCCTCTGACACACTTCAACAAGTTTTTTAATTTATTGATTTGACTCGACACATCCCATTAACTTTAATTTTTATCTATTTGACTTTTCAGTTAAGAACGCTTTAAAGTATGAACACGTTAGCGGGAAATCTTCTAATGACAATATTATGAATTCGGAAAGAGGCGATCGTGGCCCGTTTTAAAGCAGTGCCCAAAAAGGAATTTTTCTGACGGCACATGAAGCAAGCAGGGTGCATTGGGAAATGGTGTTACATGACGTAGAATTCCATAAATATTGCAAATCATGCAGTGGAATAAAGGTTTTACTAGTGCGATTACCTTAGGAGGAAAGTCATTGCTCCCTGTTATAACAAACTTTAATCCTGTTCAAGTGTTCATGTATTCGGTCAACATACAATTTAATATTATACTGCCGTTTGTGGCTGTTTTCCAACTTTTTTCATCCCTTAACATTTTGAGTGTCTAATGCATGATTTGTACAGCATGAACTGCCTGATTCGTGTCGGGTTCGATTCCCGGCGGTGCCCGAATTTATAACTTGTGTTGGGCAAGGCCGTGGTCTAGGCAACACGGAGTTTTCCTCCGGGGGCTTCCCCGGTTTCTCCGTGGCATCCCAACAATTACTCCATTCACACACAGAAGAAGGCAATGGCAAACCACTTCTGGATCATCTGCCAAGAACGTATATGAACAGGTCCCAGTCCGAAAAAAGGATGGAAGGATCCTGTTCATATGGACCTGTCGTCAGACAGAACACTAAATAAATAACCCTTATGGACATTTTCATTATTTAATTATATGCAGTCCTTCGTTACCGGTAGTGAGTGCAAAAACTAAAATGTTGACTGAAGGGAACGAACATGTTTTGGAAGACGTCAGTCATTGGACTGACTTCGATAATACGTATATCTACTTGTTATTACAATATTCAGATATGTAGATGTAAAAATAATTAATATAAATGAGAAATTCTGGATAAAATAAAAATAAAAATACAACCTGGAAATACTCCAAACGCTGTTGCCATGTGTATAACGCTAAAGATCACGGAATAATTTTGTTTCTTTCTTACTATTGTAAAAAATATTTTCTTGTACTGACATAAAAACATAAATTAGGCATGGAAATATCTGAAAACAAAGTTCATAAAAATATTTTCATCTTTCGTAAGATGGAAACCTGTTGGAAAGAATTCTGAATGTAAGATGGAGAATGAGCTATCAATGTGACCATCTGCTAGTTACATTTGATTATGGATAAAAGTGCGCATGCATATTGGAGGATTGGAGTTTGATCTCCAAGCATCCTTGAGCTCTGCAGAAAATGTAAGCAAGAGTGCATATCAGTCACAAGGCGCTAAGAACTTTCACTGTATCAAGAAAGATCTTGACGCTAAACATTGTTTCTCCATATTAAGTGGTATGTGTGGTTTCTGTTTATTTATATGCGTCGTATAAACCTTCGGCCTTCGGAAATTTGTCGCGTAGAATGTTAGAGCTTTCAAACGTCTGTAACTGGTTTAAAGGACAGCGTTAATGCTTAAATATAAGTGTTATTGTTTTTGTTGTTTGTATATACATACGAGGATTACTTCAAAAGTCATGGCAACTAATGTTTTGGGGGCAAACACGTTATATTGAACAAAGTTCAAAATACACATATGAAAGGGCACGATATACTCCTCCGATTGGCGTAGTCACATCAGGTAGGTGTGAATGGTTGTAGGTATAATGGACAAGAAAATAGGCACATTACGGAATGACCTTTTTTTTCATTCTATAATCCTCGAAAAATTCAGTTGTGATTAAAATATTCACCCGACCTTTCGCCACGTGACTATGCCTTAATACCTAAATTTAAACAGCCATTGCGAGGGAAACGCTTTCGTACACGAGAGGACATTTCCAACGCAGTTCGGCGCGAGATTTTGAACGTTGCCCCCCAAAAATTAGTTGTCATGACTTTTGAAGTAACCCTCGTATATGTACCTACCTCGTGGGCAGCCGTGGGAGATGTTTGTCCGACGGCCGGGCTTCCGTTCCTCACCACAAGCTTCTGGTACACGCGCACCAGAGCTTCAATCTCTTGCCTGAGAGAAAGAAACATTCAAATTCACCCCGACCTCTCGCCCACACTACCAGAGA